GACACGCAGTACGGTGCCATTCAGCGCTTCCAGGGGGTGATGCGGGACTACCTGGCGAACAGTGGGCAGACGGACTATAACGACACGGAGCATTTTCTCAAGAATGAGAGCGAAGGCGAGTTGTGATGGTTGATGGGTGGGTTGCCGGCGAGGTGCTCGCGCAGGCGCTGTGTAACCGTAAATGCGTGAGTGACCGCAAGGCGCTCATGGCGTCCCTCTTCAACCAGCACCGGTATGTGGTGTGGGCGACCTTGTGGTTGGGGACTACGGTGGGGAGTGCAAACGTGCGGCAGCATCGCAAGGTGCCATTTGCTACTGCAACGAGGGCGGCCGCACGGTGTACATGAAGCGGTTCGTGGAGGTCTACTGGGCAGAGGCAGTTAGTGAGGGGCTTATGACGTTTCGGTTGTCGGATTGCAACGCTTCGAACACTTTCATACCGCCGGTGTTCAGTGGGGTGGCCCTTCTGATGGCTGATGACGGCGCTGCACAGCGTGCGTTTGGAGCGATGGCGCCGGGTTTGGTGGTGCAGCCGCACGGCAAGTGCGCTGGTGGGACGTGGTGGGATTTCCGTTCTTTCTCTTCCCACCGCCCTTGACGCTGCCCATGACGCCCTGCAGTCGGAGTTGCAATCACGGCGTGTTCACGGAGTTTTGGGTGCTGTGACGGAGGCGGTGCTGGGCGTGCGGAGTGTGGTCTTCATCGACCCGCTGCAGCTTGAGCCGCGGCTGAGCAGGTTCCGCAGGCACGTGATCCACCCGTCGCCGACGCTGGAGCAGCAGTTCTTCGTGCTTGCGGAGTACCTCGGAACCACGAGTGTCCGTTCGGTGCAGACGGTGATCCGCGGCGAGGAGCAGCTGCGGTGGCGGAGGTGCTGCGACGGTCGCTGGTGACGTTTGGTGGGTCGCTGCGTTCGCCGGCTGTGCGGTACGGGTGCCGACTGCGTTGTGTTCGCGAGGAGCCTGCCGCACTGGGCGACGCGAACTCGACGTCAAAGACTGCCCAGGAGTTCATTCACAGTGTGCCCAACGCCACGCAACGGACGCCGCTGTCGCTGACGCGCTTCGCTGCAGCGCGGCTGCTGCGGACGGTTCTCTCGCGCATGCACAAGGTGACTGCTGAGCTGCTGGTTGACTTCTTCTGCAGGGACGCCGCTGTCACCGTGAAGGACATGCAGTACGGACCCTTCGCCAACGGCACGGCGTGCGATGCAGCTGACGGTGCTGTGTGCGGTGTGAACTACGGGGCAGCACGCATTTCTGTGTGATGGCTTGCTCGCGCGCTGGACCCCGCCGTGATCCCGTCGATGCGGTACGCAGAGCCCGATGGCGAGCTGACGATGGCGCAGCTGGTCGGCATCGTCGTCGCAGTGCTGCTTCTGGTCACCATCATTGCGGTGGGGGTGGTTGTGGTGCTGCTGTGCTGCTGCCGCGACTTGCGTGAGCAATGCGACTGCGCCGAAGGAGGCAACGGACCCCGTGGCGCTCGTGTTCGCCGACATCGAGAGCAGCACGGCGCTGTGGTCCGCGTGGTCCGAGTTGATGCCCGACGCCGTGGCGACGCACCACCGGCTGATCGCGAGGTACCGCAGCTACGGGGTGAAGACGATCGGCGACTCGTGCATGGTGGCATGCAAGAGTGCGTTTGCCGCCGTGCAGCTTGTGCGCGAGCTGCAGGGGGTGTTTCAGCGGCACGCGTGGGGGACGGGTGCGCTTGACGACGCGTACCGCAAGTTTGAGGAGGGCCGGGCGTAGGAGGGGACGGAGGGGTACGTGCCGCCGACTGCGCACCTGGAC